CTCTCTCTCACTCTCTCTCTCTCTCTCTCTCTCCCTTCAACTCTCCCCCTTCTTTTTTTCTCAACACTGAGTTTTTGGTTTAATTGAGTCATGTCACACTAAGTTATGGATTCCACGGACTAATGGATTTCACTGAGTTATGGTTTACACTAAGTTATTGTTTAGACTGAGTTATGTTTTACACCAGATCTAGATGGCGATTAATTTGCGATGAGCTATGGACTACACTGAGTTATGGGCTACTGGTATATTGAGTTATGGTTTACACTACCTGATTCTAAAATAACTTCTCTATGGAGAACTTGCCCACGAAAGAGACCAAGAGGAAGACCAAAAATGAGGTACAAAGACACGTGCAAAATACAGCTTATCTAAGTTGGTGTAGATTTCCGCATCTGGGAAGAAATAAGCTGAGGATAGGAAAACATGGAGGAGAAAGATAAAAGAAAGAACTATTGTGCCAGAGAGCAGCCTCAGAAACAACCAGGCTGAAAAGCGCCTACGACGAAAGGAAAACAGCGGAAAAGCATAGCTTTGATTCACCCCACTGTCATGCAAGCACTTCGACAGAATCTGCGCTTCAAATATGGGAAGAATTAACCATGAAAGAAGCTGCACGAAGACAACCTTGCGACTTGAGACCATCTTAAGCTAAATAATTTTATTGACCGTCTGCATAGACGGAAAGAGCCATACAAACTGTGTTATGGCTGACACAACGTAATGGTTTACGCTGAATTATGGTTTACTCTGAGAAATGGTTTCCACTGAGTCATGATAACGCTGCCTCATCCTATTCCACACTTGAAGAGATTATGACGTGCACACCATTTCGAAAAGAAGTAAAAGAAGCCGTCCATCCAAAGGAGTCGGCAAACAACCTGCCTCTCTGAGAGTAGAGTGTGGGTGTTGGCGGGTGCTCTGGTGTGGTTTGCACCTTCATTCGTATCATCAATCAACATATCGTCCTTACATTTTCTCCTTCTATTTTGCTTTTTATGTTACTCACTTGTAACACCTCAAATCTTCGGCACTTATATAACCGAATTATGCTACAAGTACCGTAAACCGCTCACTAAAACACAAGTGGGAGTAGAGAGGATGGTAGGGCAGAGATGGATATCGGTATGAGAACGCTCCGCAAATAGGGTGGAGATAGAAATAGAAATCAATTTACGGGTTAAACGGCTCTTTCGACTCCGTGAGATAATGTAATAGGTAGGCCCTGAGAATTCAACGGATCACCGAAATACTAAATCAAGTAGGTGACAACTTTACAAATGTCCCAAGTTCAAAAGTATCTCGATGGGGATCCAAACCAGGGTCATCCGGATTATATCATTACCCAGCACGATATCACACAAGCTAACTGTATATAGATCTCTCTCTCTCTCTCTCTCTCTCTCTCTCTCTCTCTCTCTCTCTCTCTCTCTCTCC